AGACAAGTATCACATCCAACCATAATCATTACATTTTTTTTCTCACAAAAATTTAAAAAATCAAAAAAATCTAAATCAAAAGAGGCTAAAAAAGTTTCAACACAAAAAAGTTGGTTATATTAGCCAATGTCAAATGAAGCTTAGTGAGAGCTATAAGCTTATTTTTAGAACTTGGTAAAAAATCAACTTTTTGACTTTTATAGATCACATCACTTGTCCACTTTTTTTTAAAAAAAAATTCAAAAAATTAGTTTTTAACTTCTTCTTAAAACAAATTAAAATAGCTAAAAAATCAACTTAAAAAACTCACATAATAAACGGCAGTTATGTGTACGTATGTGAAAAGTTATTTGTTGGTCTAGAAATAGCATTATGTGATGTTTTACTTATATTATGATTGATGATGGGATAAAATTCATGATTTCATATGGAATAATTAAAAAATATTAGACACGTGATAGTTTGTAATCAGTTAGAGGCGTAGTCATGTAGTCTCACAAGCCAATCAATAATTTTTCCGTATGTATGTATGTATGTATGCCTGGAGAGAGAGAGGGGCTGTCAGGTGAGAGAGTGAGAGTTGACAGTAGGGATGTAAGAAAAATCGAAAAAATCGACTAAATTGATTAAATCGGACGAAACCAACTATATTTGATCTGTTTTTTAATAAGAATAGGTCTGTGCGGTTTTTAAATTTGATTTTTTTCGGTTTTCGATTTGGTATCGGTTTAAGTACCTTATGAACCGATCTAAACCGAAACCGACCGCTTCAACATATATTGTATTTATAATATATATAATCTAATAATATAATGATATTAATAAGTATAATAAATTATTAACCTTAATTAATTAACCTTATCATCTTTATAATCTAAGTTTGTAAACTCTTATTATATATAATCTTAACTCTAACTCATTATTCTTGAAACTTTAGTATTTTAAAACTTTTTTGTTTTTTGTTTTTTTGGTTTTTGTTTATTTAGGAATTAAAAAGTATGTATTGAATGGATGGATTAGATATATTTGAAATGGTAGACAAATAACTAATTCAGTCTCCGTTTGGGAAGTGGGTTGACTTTTTGGCTATTTTAGTCTGGGGCTAAAAAGCCTGATTTGGGAAGAGCTTTTTGAATTTTTGGTTTTTTTGAATTTTTTTATGAAAGAGGAGTGTAATGATTATGAGTTGGATTTGATATTTTGTTTTTTGTGACTAAAATAGCCTATTTTGTTTTTTGTGGCTATTTGAGCCGCTAACCCACCAAAACCAACTTCCCAAATTATGAATGTTTTTATATAGATTAATGATTATATTTAAAAATGGCTCAAGTTTGAAAAATTTTAAACCGATTAAACCGCACCAAACCGAACCGTTTTAATCGGTTTGGTTTGGTGCAGTTTGATGGGAGAAACGGTCTGTATCGGTGTTCAAAATAATAAAACCGACATTATCAGTTCTGTATGAGCACGAAATAATTCTTCTCATATGATCCTGTTGATCAAGTTTGCACTTCTCTAAACAACGTTGCTTTGCCATCTGAACTGTTGATCAAGTTTGCACTCCTCTAAACAACGTTGTTTTGCCATCTGAAAACACAAACGTGAGCTAACCGGTGGGTGTGTGCCGGAAACCCCTCCGATGCCTAAGTCAGCAACTAGACAATAAATAATAAGCTTTGTGTATTCTAGAGTAAGAATTGGGATACCTGTACAAAAGTCTGGTCATGAACTTTTATAGACTTTACTTTGACACAATCTTGGTAGGATTCCAACTCTCCTTATGAGAGTCCTCCTAGGAATCACACACCCTACTCACTACTAATCAAGTGAGATGGTTTTGCACAATCCTAGTAGGATTCTACTCTCCTTAGCAGAGTCCTCTTAAGAGTCATACTCCTACTCACTACTAACCAAGTGAGATGGTTTGCACAATCCCAGTAGGACTCTAACTCTCCTTAGCAGAATCTTATTAGGAGTCTCATCATTGCAAGCCAAGTGAGATGGCTAAACCCTTTACCTCGGTTATACATTTCTAACCGAACTGTCTTATCTCGGTCTCCTGCCATTCGAGCCGTGTGATCGAAAGCCAATCTATCGAATGCCACCTTGCCGAGCTATACACAGCTCGACCCTCACCATTGATGTTACGTCCTTTACCTCGGCTGACATCTTTACCTCGGCTGACATTGTGGTCAACCAGGTTATTTCGGCTCGGTGATACTTTAAGTACCACTGTCAGTCTTGACTTTGAGATGACGCCCTGCAGAGCTATCTTTTAGCTCGGTTCTCCTCTCACTGATATCTCGATTTTGTCTGTTTAGACCGAGCTAACTGCAGCAGTCTCCGACTGAACTAACAAGGACGAGGTCCAACTTACGAAGCCCAAACACCTCGGCGCATAATTCGACCCAAATCCGTAATATCAGATGTTTTCTTGGCCTAAGACCGAGCTACACCAGCCCTTATCTCGGCCCATTGCGCGGCCCAACTTCCAAAGAAGACTTTCCTAACTCGGCTCAATTTGCTTACAAATTACCCTCTCAAGTTCGGTATAATTTTTTACCTAAATATCGACTGTACCGAACCGATTACATCCCTAGTTGACAGTAAAAAAAAAAAAAGAGTGAATGGCGTTAGGGAGAGAAAAAAGAGACGGAGAAAAAGACAGAAAAAAACAGTGTATTTAATTTTAATTTTATGAATTAAGTTTTTTTAAAATTGAGTTTTTTATTTTTTATTTTTATTTTTATTGAATATTTTTAAAATTTTAAATATATATTTTTTATTTTTTAGATATATCTTACTTAGATCTATCTAAAAAGTAAAATATTTGTGAAAAAATATTTTAAAAAATTAATAAATATACAAAAATAAGGAAAATATATTGAATTTTCATATATTTTTTATATTTTTGATATTTAATGAATTTTTTAAAGATTTTTTCACAAAAATTATACTTTTAAAGTTTATTTATGTTAAGTGTGTTTAAAAATTTTAAAAATTACTTAAAATATTAAAAAAATTCAGTAAAAACAAAAAAAAATACTAAAAATAAGAAACTAAAATTTTTTGAAAAATATTTTCAAAAAACTAAAACCAAACAAAGTGATTAGTATTGGTAATTATTTTTACACTTGTCAATGTTGATGTAATTTTGAAATATTCTTCACTGATTTGTGAAATTTTTTCCCAAATCGCTGTGTTAAGTAATTGTCCCTTATTTAAACCATAAAAACTCAACTCCACCTAGAATGAGCCACCCAAACCCTCCTTCAGAGTCCCAACGTTGAAATCCTTGCTTTACTGTCTGTCCCTCGCCATGACACCCTTTCTGCATTCTTAGACACATAGAGCGTTTCTGGTTTGTGTTTGTAGAGTAATTTTTGAGATAAAAAGTACGAAAATTTATTTGGTTTGTCTTTTTTCAGAAATGGTTTTAGAAAATTGTTTTGGGGAGAGAGTTTTAAAAAAAGTGATTGATTTGATGTGTATGAAAGAGAGTGATTTTGGAAATTAGGTAACCAAACAAAATTTTGAGATTTTTTTTGAAAAAATTTGTTTGGTTTGATTACTCTTGAAAATTTATTTGCAGAGAATTTTTTCCAAAATCTTTTCTAAAAAACAAACCAAACAAGCCCAGAATATTTTTTCATACCTCCCCTATTCTGTTTGGGCTGAAGCTGCTTGTTTTGGTTCCTTTTGTTTGCTAAAGACATCCATCAAAAAATAAGTAAATAAAAACAAAAATTGTAAAAAGTGTGGCTTCATATTTCAATTATGAGATATTGCAAAATGGAGAGAGGGAAAGGGAGGGAGTTGTCATATCTATTGTCATTGTTAGTACATTGTTGGTGAGAATGATGGGTTGGTATCAAAACAACAATCCAAATGAGATAATTGCGAAAAAAAAAGTGAGTGAACAAAATCAAAAAAAAAAAAAAAATTGGAGTAAGCTGCCACTACTCATGGTCTGGGCATATCACATTGCCCCCACCTTCCATAACTAACTCCTACCACATTTTTTTTGTGAACTTAAACCTTACCTTAACTTTTACCCCAACTTGCTTCCATCTTGTAATCACTCAACTCAACACCTTGTTTTGTAGTACTCTTTCAGGTGAGAGTTCATTTTCTTTCCATGCTCTTTCATCATACCTTCTTGACATGTGCATCATAGGTCAATAATTTGAGTTGTAAATTGTTGTTTAAGCAAGAAAATCAACTTCCATTTTGGGGTATTTCTTACAAAATTTTGTGGTGTTGGAAAATAACAACAAAAATGTTATGTACCCGGAAAAATTGGTCTAATTCATTTTGTATGTGACCCCATTAAGTGGTATGGTTCGGTTGATTAGGGTTAAGAAAAAATTTAGAACTAAATTAAATCCTTCGATTTTGTTGGTTTTTCAATTTAATATAAAAAAGAAATTAATGAGAGACTATGTAAAAGTGATATAAAAAATTGTAGAAACTCATATCAAGAATAAAAAAAGAGGAAGGGTGAAGGTGATTTCTATAAATGCCTCTCTCCCAACCTTTTTCTAATGTTTAAATAATCAAAATGGACCAGTTTCATTTTCCATGTGATCCTACAACAAGAAATTTAAATTTACACTGTAGATTCAAAATTAGAGCAAATTTTCTAAGTACATAGTATTCTTTGAATAATAATCCAAAATTGCAACAAACAAGAGGATAAAAACTTGGGAACTATATTATAAAAATCAAAAGATTTCTGGCTTTTTATAGGGTTTGTTTGTTGGAAGGTTCATGCATAGTGATTATCTTTTTTTGAGGGAATGAATGGATCACAATCACATTGGAAGGTAATTAGCATTATTTCTCCAGAGATTAGACAACTTTATCAGTTGGATCTTATTCGAAGACATTACAACAATAATAATGCAAAGAAAAAGGTTGTGGAGTCTACCTCTCTTTTTGGTGCAGATTTGTACTTTTCATTTGTTTGGATGTTTGTGCCTTCAGCTCCAAAACAAAAACATACAATCTTTAAATATTTCACAAATTGTTGTCCAAAAACACTAATCTCCTCCATGAAAAAAGTGTTCCAAAATTCACATCTTTTCATATGTAATTTTCACTCAAAACCAAAGGGCATTTTTAGCATATCACAATGTCCATGATAACATTTTAGAAAAACAGTTTTTTTTTTTTTTTTTTTGAGTGACTCACTTTTGCTATGAATTAGCATAGAGAGAAGAGAGCAGAGTAGAAACATGTCAAGCAATGCCATCATCACAACAATACTTCTCTTGTTCCTCAACATCTCTTTCTTCCCAACAATCTCTTCTTTGAACCAAGAAGGCCTTTCTCTCCTGTCGTGGCTTTCAACTTTCAGTTCATCTTCATCTTCTTCTTCTTCTTCTTCCACTTTTTTCTCTTCTTGGAATGAAACAAACCAAAACCCATGTCAATGGGACTACATCAAATGCAACAACAATGGTTTTGTTTCAGAAATCACTATTAGCTCCATCAATCTAGGCACTGCTTTTCCTACCCAATTCCTCTCTTTGAATTCCCTCACCACGCTCGTGCTTTCCTACACGAACCTCACCGGTGAAATTCCATCTTCAATTGGAAACTTGTCGTCAGTGACCAAGTTATCTTCAATTGGAAACTTGTCGTCAGTGACCAAGTTAGACTTAAGTTTTAATGCTCTAACAGGGCGAATACCGCCTGAAATTGGAAAATTGTCCGAGCTTCAACGACTTTCGCTGAGTTCTCACGAGAAGATGAAATTGGAAATTGCTCGATGCTCCAACAGCTTGAGCTGTTCGATAACCGGCTTTCTGGAAGAATTCCTGCAGAAATAGGAATGTTGTCTATGCTCAAAGTATTTCGTGCTGGTGGAAACCCGGGAATTGGCGGGGAAATCCCAATGCAGATATCGCAATGCAAAGGACTAATTTTCTTGGGACTTGCGGAAACTGGGATTTCGGGGCATATTCCGTATACTTTAGGAGAGTTGAAGAATCTAAAGACGCTTTCCATATACACTGCGAATCTCACTGGTGAAATTCCTCTTGAAATTGGTAATTGCTCGGCTTTGGAGAATCTTTTCGCGTATGGAAATTATATTTCTGGACGAATTCCAAGCCAACTAAGCATGTTGAAAAATCTCAAGAGAGTTTTACTATGGCAAAACAAGCTCACCGGTACCATTCCTGGATCTCTTGGAAACTGTTTGAGCTTGATGGTTATCGATTTCTCGCTAAATTCTCTCTCTGGTGAGATTCCTCCGTCTCTCGTGAATTTAGCCACGTTGGAGGAGCTTCTTTTATCCGAAAACAACATTTCCGGGGAAATCCCACCTTTTCTTGGCAATTTTTCCAATTTGAAGCAACTTGAGTTGGACAACAACAGATTTTCCGGGAAAATTCCACCCGCCCTCGGGGAATTAAAGGAGCTTTTGCTTTTTTTCGCTTGGCAAAATCAGCTTCGCGGAAACATTCCACCGGAGCTCGCCAAATGCAGGAAACTCCAAGCAATAGACCTCTCACACAATTTTCTCACCGGGTCAGTTCCAAATTCCCTTTTCACCCTCAAGAACTTAACTAAATTGTTGTTGCTATCGAATCAACTTTCCGGAACAGTTCCAACCAGTATAGGCAATTGCACTCGGTTGACACGCCTACGATTAGGCTCAAACATGTTATCCGGTCAAATTCCACCCCAAATCGGGCTGTTACAAAGCTTGAGTTTTCTCGAATTGTCCGAAAATCGATTCACTGGAGAAATCCCACCCGAGATAGGCCATTGCACTGAGCTAGAAATGGTGGATTTGCATGATAACAATCTCCAAGGTGGGATTCCAAGCTCCTTTGTATCCCTTGTTGAGCTCAATGTTCTAGACCTTTCCAAGAACAGAATATCAGGCATCATTCCCAAGAATTTCGGAGAATTGAAATCTTTGAACAAGCTCGTGTTAAGCAAAAACTACATTACCGGTGTGATTCCTAAATCGCTAGGTCTCTGTAAGGATTTGCAGCTGCTGGATATCAGCAGCAACAGAATCGGCGGCTCGATCCCCGATGAGATTGGCCAGTTGCAAGGACTAGATATTCTGTTGAACATGAGTTGGAATTTCTTGACAGGTCCAATCCCGGAAGGTTTTTCAAAATTTTCGAAACTCGCAAACTTGGATCTTTCTCACAACATGTTAATGGGAAGCCTAACGGTGTTGGCCAATCTTGACAGTCTCGCTTCGCTCAACGTGTCGTACAATAATTTCTCGGGTTTTCTTCCTGACACCAAGATCTTCCAGGACCTCCCTGATGCTGTTTTCGTTGGAAATCCTGAACTCTGCATTAACCGAACTAACTGCAAGATTAGTACTTCTTCAAATCTACACGGCATACAATCCGCTAAAAATCTCATCCTCTTGGTTGTTCTCAGCATAACAGTGACGACAATCATTGTGACTATTGGAGTAATTTCACTCATCAAAACACAAAGCAGTAACAATGACAGCAACAACGAAGAACGCGGTTTGGATTGGGAAATCACCCCCTTCCAGAAGCTAAATTTCTCAGTACACGACATCGTGTCAAACCTCTCGGATAGTAACATTGTCGGAAAGGGCTGCTCAGGAGTGGTTTATCGTGTAGAAACTCCATTGGGACAAGTCATTGCAGTGAAAAAGCTGTGGCCAATGAAGAAAGGCGAGCGTCCAGAACGGGACTTGTTTTCTGCGGAAGTCACAGCGCTCGGATCAATTAGGCATAAGAACATAGTGAGGCTTTTGGGATGTTGCAATAATGGAAAAACAAAATTGTTATTATTCGATTACATTTGTCATGGGAGTTTGACTGCGGCGCTTCACGAGGAGAAGGTGTTTTTGGATTGGGATGCGCGGTTTAAGATCATACTCGGAGCTGCTCATGGTTTGGCTTATCTTCATCATGATTGTATTCCTCCCATTGTTCATCGCGATGTCAAGGCTAACAATATATTGGTCGGATCACAATTTGAAGCTTTTCTTGCGGATTTTGGATTGGCAAAGCTTGTTAGCTCTTCGGATTGTTCCAAAGTTTCCAACACGGTTGCAGGGTCTTATGGGTACATAGCTCCTGGTAAGCATTTTTGGCTTTAAGTTAGCAAAAACTACATAGAATAATTGTTAAATTTGGTAGTAGATTTTTGGATTCAGTATAAGACTAATCATTTTCTAGATATAATCCAATGTTTTTGGAATATTTTTTAGATACAATGCAATGTCTTCTGTTGTCACTGGTAGCGTGAAGAGAGAATCCATTGATTCAAAAATGAATACTGAAGCAATATGAGCTAATACATATCGGATTTTTGTGTTTCTATTACCAATAGACCTCACTATACCGGTTAGAATGGAAAGCACAAGTGTATTGGCCAATTCCTGATATGTTTTGGTTTATAGCCCAACCCATACAGTCGGTTCACAACTAATACGACTGGTTCAATTGTTATAAAACCCTATTTTGCGATTAATGATTTTAAAAAATATATATGTATATATATCTCAGATAAGTACTACTTTTTTTTTAAATGTCTGGTTCAAGTGTTATAAAACCTTATTTTACGACTGATGATTTTAATAAATATATATATCTCTCTCAAATAAAGTCCTAATTTTCAAAATAAAATATCCATTAAGTTCTACTACTGAGAAAGTTGATTCATGTATTAATATGGCAAAACTGAAATCACGAGTGTGACATTTGATTCCCAATATGTGTTGCTTGATACTCTTGATACTGTTACACCCACTGATACTAATATGTTTCTTGATACCAATATTTAAAACCACTGCAGCAATAGCATAGGGAAATAGTTCACAGGACAGGACTAACAATAATTGGTTACAAATTGCAGAATATGGATACAGCTTGAGAATAACAGAGAAGAGTGATGTCTACAGCTATGGCATTGTCCTCCTAGAGGTCCTAACTGGGATGGAACCAACCGATCACCGAATTCCCAATGGTGCCCACATTGTCAGCTGGATCAATCAAGAACTTCGCGAAAAACACACAGAATTCACAACAATTCTTGATCCAACACTGCTTCAACGGTCTGGCACACAAGCCCAAGAGATGCTGCAAGTGCTCGGTGTCGCTCTGCTCTGCGTGAATCCTTGCCCAAAGGAGCGACCCACCATGAAAGATGTCACAGCCATGCTCAAAGAGATCAAGCATGAGAATGGGGAGTGTGAAAAGCCAAAACCAGCTGTTCACTGTTCAAGTTTTTCCAGATCATCTGAACCCTTGATCAGATCACCTTCCCATTTGGCATAGTTAGTTCAAATTGTTGTTGTGTTTGAATTAATTGATTTTTTTGCAAGTAACAAAATAAGTTGTGTAGATTGGTGTTGTAATTTAGTAGACATATATATATTTTGATTGTAAATTAGTATTTGGTGACTTTAAATTGTACTCTTTATGACTTCTTAATGAAGCCAATGCATAGTGTTTTGTTTATTTCAGAACTGGAATAAAAATTGAGGATTGCAAAGTTCAGTTGGATAGATAATGATAATCCAATATTTCATCCCCAAGAAGCTTAAAATCTAGTGGTATACACAAAAAAACAAAATAATCAAAAGAAGATTTGTGGATAATAGCTTAAATTCTAAAATGAAAATTATTGAGTAGTTTTGGACCGACATGTTCTCTTACTCAATTGAGTAAGGTGAGTCATGACGGCTCTACTCAATCAGTAACTATCATTCTTGTTGATTACTATGTCAACATGCAGAGTTGGTATTCCAAAACAACAAAATATTTATTCATTTTAAACATGCATAATTTTTAGAAACTTAGTGTGTAAAACCCCTTTTCACCTATACCCAATACACTCTTAACCATACAATATGGTAAGAATTTTGAAATATGAAAATCTTGAGGCACCACCACAAATAGGAGTGCATTGGATACGAAAGGATAGAGAAAAGAATTAGAAGCACTACAATATTTGTGTTTGGAATTTAGATTTAGATAGAAATTTGTGGTGGGAATAGAAAATGAGAGAGAAATGTAAATAAAATATAATTTTTTTATTAATCTTTTTTGAACATTTTTCAATCATTTTCATTTTTCTTCACAAATCAATAGTGAAATTCAAAATCCAAAACACATGGCAGTGTTTGGGAAGTTTGTTTTTTGATTTTTTTTCACTAAAAGACAAATTGGTTACAAAACAAAAAAAAACAAATCCAAACAAAATAACACATCAACCCCCATAATCATTTCACTTTTTCTCTCACAAACATCATATTCAACCACAAAAAAATCCAACTATCTTTCCAAACACAAAAAAAATTTTCTCCAATAATATCCTATAACTAAAAAAATATACAAAAAAACTCATTTCCCAAACACCGAGCTAGACATGACTCCATTAGTCATAGTATGGAGCTCCAAACAAGGGCCCAAGCAAACAGACAAGCAGATAAAATCCAAATCCTTTTGGGTTGTATTGTATGTGGGGAAGCTAAGCTATAGGCTGACAATAAAATCATAGGGGGGGGAAAAAAAAAAAAAGGTTATATGGTGTTGACAAAATCATCTTGGTTGTCATGAACAACATGTAACATACAATTATTGGAAAAGCAAAAGGACCACTATTCCCCTATACATAGCTTTCAGTAAAGCGAAAAAGAGATGTCAATGCTTGATTTTATTGACAGATACATTGCTTTTAGTCATGTGATATGAGACCATGTTAGACCCACAGATAGTTTAGACTACCCACCCAATCAGACTTTGATGGCCAAAAATGCAAGCAAACTATTTACTGAGACATACATTTTGATGGAACTTCCCACATGCAAGCAATATGCGTTTATCATGTACACTACACATTCATTGAGGTCCTACCCCACCTTCTTATTTCACCTTTTTCTTTTTTTTTGACAAGTACCTCTAAAGGCTTTTTAGCTTAAACTTATAAGATAAATTGAGCCAAATTTGAAGAGGATTAATTTCACTTTTATCCTTCATCTTTTAAATTTTTGCATTTTTTTTCTATTTTATTCTTAAAATATTAATTTTATCTTTTTAACCTCTAACGTTTCTATGCTAATGTGATTCAATTGGAGACGGTTATTCAAATCAATAACTGTTAAAGCCTAATTTGATAATCAAAAAAGTCATTTCAAAATTTAAACAACTTAAACTATTCTCTCTCTCTCTCTAACCGAGAGCTTCTCTCTCTACTCTTTCTTTTAGCTTTTCTCAGTGCTGTCCTACTTGGTTAGGGGGAGGGAGCTTCGGCCTTTGGCCACTTCTCTCCTCTCCCTCTCTCCCCCTTTTCCCTCCAGTTTTTGCCAAATAAGTTTGGGAGCCGTTCTTTCCAATCTCTCCCTTCATGTGAGGTGCTTTCTTCCCCCCATGGTGGAAGTGTGTTGGGTTCTCCTCCTCTATTCCGTCGGCGTGGATCTACTCCAGTTTTCTGGTTTTCTTTTTTGTTTTGTTTGTGTTTTGGTTTGGTTTGAGCATGGAGTCCATCGGTGCTTGATGTAGCTTACCCATTCTGTGGTTGTAACTTATGATTTATATTCAGCATGCTCTATAGCCAGTTATTTGGCTTTTGCTTTGCAGTACGAGCACAAGCACAAGCATAAGTTGTGTGGCTGGATAATTTCATAGATTTATTCCTGTGTATTTTTTGTTTTTATCTTTTCTTTGCTTGGTGTAAGTTTATCTCTTAGATGGATTCCTTTTTGTATGTGCCGTTTGACTACATTAATGGAAATTTCTTTTGATTAAAAAAAAAAAAAACACTCACATTTTTTTAAATGAGGGGTGGAAGAAGAAAAAATGGATACTTGGTTGCTGGGAGTAAATTATCTAATATATCAAAATGTAAAATTATTTTTTTCCCCATTATGTTAGGTTCTCAGCATTACTGATTTGGATGAATTGTCTTCAACTGAACCATACGAATTAAATTCAAAAACTTTGAGAACTAAATAGATGAAATTGATAATTTATGGTGAAATAGAAGAAGAAGAAAAAGACAATAATGTAAGGGATAAAATTGAAATTAGTCCACTTTAAACAAATGATAAAATGATTTGTGAACTTATTAAAATAAAAAATCAAATAATTTAACTTCGACCCGAGACTGTATAGTTAAACCATTGCTGTTGTAGTACCTCATAACATTCATTTAGGTCAAGATTAAACCCCCTTCATTTTCAGATTTCTTTTGGCAAATCATTTTTATTTGAAAAGTACCCCTAAGCTTATCTAGTTAAGCCATTGCTTTTGTGGCAATCTGGGAATCATGATGTACATTACAACATTAATCATTTAGGCACAAACCCTTGATAAGTACTTTTAAGCTTATCCAGTTAAACAATTGGTTTCATAGCTCTTGTCGTTATTCGATTATTATAAACAATTATATTAATGACAAATTAAGCCATTAAATATATGAATGGTTTACATTGTTTTTGGCATGTAGGGGCCAGCTACCGATTGACACTTTTTACATTATTTCTCAGCTTTGATAATAGGATTCTTGAGGGTGAATAAGATGTGATTTTGAATTCCATAATTCCACAATTTGAATGAAGTTGAAACATGAATGTAATTCCCCATTTCTCAATCCAGTCGAAAATAATGTGTTAGATTAACGCTATGTTTGGTTAAGAGATTTGAAAAGAAATTTGGAAACGGAAAGAAGAAAAAAAAAATGTGTGAAACTAAATAAAATATAAGTATAATTTATTCGCATTTCACCTACCTTTTTTTTCTTTTTTCCAAATCTCTTCCCAAATCTTTCAACCAAACACAGTATTAAGGAAAATCTGATTCCTTCACTCTTTTACAATAACCTCAAATTCGTGTCTAATTAAGAATTAAGTTTGATTTTTTGTGTTATATATACCCTCATAATCTATATCAAGGCTTGGAATCTTTGAAATTGTGTGGTGTGGGCAGTTCTTTGGGTCTTATGAATAGAAGGAATGCTTGAATTTTCAAAGAAAAAGTGGAAAAGAAGATTTGTATTTTAGCTTCCTTTTGGATTTCGGTAGCTCCCCTTTTTCAAAGGGTACCATTTTTATTTTTATTTTTAATTTCAAGGGGTTAGAGAATTGTATGTAGAATATGAGATTTTTTGAGAATTTTTTTTCTTTAGATTTACTTCTTGTTTCTTTTCTTTTTTAGTGGACTTCTTGTCCCCGTCCTCTTCTATTTTCTCTTTTACTTTTTACAAAACTATCTTTTGTTGCGGATCAAAAAACAAAAAAAAAAGAAAACCAAAGAAATGCAGAAAGGTTTTTTTAGTGTATAAAGCTTTTACAAACCCATATATTTTTCTCTAATGTGATACAAGTACATGTATATATTCTGCTATGTTCATGTTGTGTTTATTACTCCATGATCGATATTGGTGGAAATTTATAACATGAACTCAATGTGGTCACAAACAACTCCATAGACACCTTGCATGAGCTTGTAATGGCCCTGCCACCACCTATTACTTATACCCTAAGGCCATGTTTGTTTGGGCGGACTGGATTAGCATTCCCATGACTAATAGTCCTAGGGGTACAAATCCATTGGATTATGTATCCTATCTTAACTAATAGTCAAGTTTAAAATAATTAGTCCGTACTTTAATTGTTTAATCAAACATTGGATTAGTAATTTTATTGGACTATTAGTCCAATCCCAAGCTCATATCCACCCAAACAAACATGACCTAAGGCCATGTTTGTTTGGGCGGACTGGATTAGCATTCCCATGACTAATAGTCCTAGGATAACTAATCCATTGGATTATGTATCCTATCTTAACTAATAGTCAAGTGTAAAATAATTAATCCGTACTTCAATTGTTTAACCAAACATCGGATTAATAATTTTATTGGATTATTAGTCCAATCCCAAGCTCATGTCCACCCAAACAAACATGGCCTAAGTGCTTTGCTGCATTCACATAAAACTGTGGGGCTCACACTCTTCTCTATTTTTTGCACTTTTCAACGAATAACCAGTTCAGATATTCACGATCAAGAAGTATTGGATTCTCTTCCGGAAAGTCCCAAAACAAGCAGGAAGACTGAAATGCCAACATGTGTCTATTATTGAATTCACCCCACTCGATAATACTTATTTGGGGAGGGTCCAATGCTAAAGTCACTGAATGAGTCGTCAATCCCTAAAAACAGACTAATTATGTGTTCCAATTTTGGGGAATAGTCTCCTTGTGACATAATTAGTTAAATCTCTCCAGCTACCAAGAAGATATGATCAGATTAGGCGGAAAAATAATTAACATCTAGACTTATTCTTCAGTATACAACTCCTCCAAACTTTACAACTTATTAGTTAAAACAGATAATATAAGCAATCTGAGTTCCATATTCTAGTTTCTTGTTTTCTTCCTTCATTCATTCTTCTGAATAACTCAAGAGTCACAGATGGTGAAATTCCAAAAGACCTCAAGGAATTAGCTTAATATTTCCAAACATACCCATCTGGTCTATGCCTAATTTGCTGTCACTAGAATCCAACAGTTTGCGAGGAGGTTCATGAAGTGCGATCAGCGCAGCCACCAAGCCAGCATTGCTCGATATGCTCGGCTCTGTGAACCACGGCTTTTCCCTCTCGTCTAAGAAAATGTCGTTTTGATCCGGTCCTCCAACCATGGCTCCCAATAGCTCATTTGGATTTGCTTCTTTTGAGTTTAGCCATTTGTCTCCTTCTGCACAGGAATGGGCTTGACCATCCCATGGTATTGATGCAGCCCTGTGATGAACTTGGTTTGGATAACTGGCTCCAAATCCTACTACGTAGCTTGTTTTCATGGGATTATCCCCTAGTATGTAATCCACCTGGAAAAACATGAAAATTGGCAAAAAAAAAAAAAAAAAAAAAAAGAAGAAGAAGAAGAGAGAAAAAATGAAAAAAATTAGATACTATTTCCATTTATTTGGAAACATGCTTTCCATGTAAAACGTTGCGATGTTTTTGATTGCACCTCGAAACTGACTTGTTGGTTGTGATAGTGGTGGGGGTGGTCATGGTGGCGTTGTAGTGACGTGATGGGTGGTAGTGTTGACATGGTCGCAGTGGTAGGATGGTGACGACAGCGGTGGTGGCAGTAGGGTAGGGGTGAAGGTACTTGACGGTAAAATTTTATTCCGGAAAATATTTTTCACATTTTAAAACTAAATTTTTTTTTTCTCCCCCAATAAACTTATTTTTCATTAAATACGGAAAATTGGCTTTTGTTTTTTTATTATATCAAATGCTAGAAACTAAATGGAACATATTTTGTAACGACAAACGGAGTCAGAGTATGCATGTGTTTCTTAAAATGCTCTGTATACATTGACAAAGTATTAGAATTCATGCTAATAATATATTTAGTGTAATATACTAGATTTGATTCTTTTTGCCCCCAATTTGAATAAAAAAAAAAATAAAGGAAGGAAGAAATTGACGAAGTATAAGAATTCATGGTTACCCTGTTGAAGTTTAAGACAGCTCCGCATATAATGGGTACTAGTTCTGCCAGAAACACAGAAACCAATCACAGAACCGGAAACAGAATACCTGCGATTTCGAAAACCTCCGCAACGTGTCAAGGGAGAAGGCAGAAGAATAAGTAGGACTGCAACTGCTGCCGGATCTATGCAGAAGCTCAAGGTAGTCGCTGTACAATTTGCTTAGAAAAGATGCTGTCACAGCATACTGTAACGGTGCACCATAGTCAGGCTTCAACAGGATCAATCCACCTATATATATTCATATTTGAAGAAAATTTGTAAATGACATTGAATGAACAAATCATTATGCATGGCATTCATGGTACATATATGGATTCATTCGAGAGAAATTTAGTTTATTGTACCCTCTGTCTTCTTGAACGCTAGATCAAAAAGATATGAACACATTAGCAAGTCAGTTCTGTTTGATGATTCTGTGAAAGCATCCTCATATGGGTACCCAAGATCACGGAAAAACCTAAGCCTCGTTAGCAAAACCTGTTATAAAAACAAAACAAAATACAAAACTTTAAATTCATTCAAAACATTAGCATTTACTATACAAAAAATTAAGGGTAAATTACACTATGTTCATCTGCACCTTACATCAAATTCTACGTTAGTCTCTCATTTTTTAATTGTAACAATCAAACCCTTACACTCTCGGAGTTTTGCTAGTTTTGGCATAAAACTCTAAATTCATTCAAAACATTGGCAATTCCTATTCAAAGAAGGGTAAATTACATCTAGTATATTTGCACTTCACATCAAATTCTACTTTAGTCTTTCATTTTTCAATTGTAACAATCGAACCCTTGCACTTTCAGTGTTTCGCTAGTTATGGCATATAATTTCCTAAGGAAATTTATCACCTGACCTTCTCATTAGGCATTTTCAAGGGTACAAAATAATTTTCTTTATTTTTTCATCGTATTTTCTCTCTATTATATTTTTTAAATCCACTACCACCGTCCACCCCTTCACTGCTATTTTCCCACCTTTTTTGCTTGTGGCCCTCATCTCTGTCACACCCATCCCCTGTCTACCCGGCCCCCAACGATTTGGCAGTGACTATGAGTAGTAAGGAAGGGATGAGCGCCTTCGAGAAAAGGATGGGGAAATAGCAGGGAAGGGGTGGTTGATGAAAGTAGATTTAGAAAATACAGTAAGAAGAGAAAATGTTATGGACAAATAGAAAAGAAGTAGAAAGGAGAAAGAAAATTACTTTGTTTTTTCTTCCCCTCAAAGATATCTCGTGTGAAGGATGCATCAAAATTTCTTTTAAGTAATTTAACACCAAACTAATGGAAATGCTACATTAAAAAACGAGAAATCAAAGTGAAATTTGATGTAAAGTGTTTAGGTGCAAAGTCTAATCTACCCAAAAATTAATTAAAATTAGAATTACTGCGTTAGCAGTGAGCTTGTTGTTCCAATAGAAAATCCCTTTCTCAGAAAATAATTCCTCTTTCTCAGCCAAGAAAAAATTTTCAGTAGCATATCCAAGATAACTAGTGTTCCCAGTAGCAAAGAACAGCCAAGTTCCTCCCCAAACCAGTTCATCTTGATAGCTTGTTGAGTTATAAAATTGTGTTGCTTGTCCTCCACAGTCCAGAATTGCGGTGTACATTCCTTTTTGTTTCTGATCTACCCCTATTGCAATCTCAAACAATTCCTCTGCTGATTTGATTAGTTTCGTTGAATAATCAGTGTCTTCTTTGAATACTAGTGATGCTGCTGATAAAGCTGCAACGATTTCGCCTGCTAGGTCTGAAGCTGTGCTGCCACAAAGCGAGACTGGTCTTGGATAGGCCATGTCCTCTGGTCTTTGCCAGCAGTTTATGTCATTTTCAATCTTGGTATCATTACTAGTACTTCCAACCTGAAAATCATTAATAAGTTTAAGAAATTTTCATTTGTAAACTAAAACTCCGTTTATTTTGGCAAAAATATTTTTCCTAGAGAAAATGTTATTCAAAAATGTCTTCTGCAAAAAATGTTTCCATGTGTTTGCTTGCGACCTTAAAACTGATGTGCAAATGGTGGTGTTCTTGTAGGGCATCAAGGATCCCGCCCAAGGCCTTGTAGAAATCATACCAAGCAGAAAAACACACCCACACACAAGGAGACACCATATTTAACGTGATTCGGCAATAATGTTTACGTCCACGGGAGAGTAACCGTTTATCACTATAACAATGGAGAGATTACAATAGAGGAGGAGCTCACACTCTCCTCACTCAGCCACTCTCCCGTCTCTCTCCCTCACACCAAGAGAGACGGTCTCTCCGCCTCACATCTCTCACTCTCTTTAATTTGCTCGGTTTGCTCTCTATTTTCAACCCCCCCCCCCTCAACCTCTATTTATACACATTAAGAGGGATATTCTAATTGGTCACCACCTACCTCTTCCACTAGCTCCATCCACTAGCTAGTGGGGTAGGTGGAGTGGAAGAACCACCTTCAAGCTAATGGAGGAAGTGGGTTCTCCATTGGAGCTCCTCACATGGGGTGAGATATGAGATATCCAACAGTTCTAGTGGTGGTGGTGGTGGTGGGGGGTAATCATGGTTGTGTAGTGGTTGTAGCATCGACTAGTGGCAAGCCTAGAAACTGTACAAAGGAGAGGCCAAAGTAAAATTATTAGATTTCTTAGGGTCAAACTAAGATTTATATGGATTTTGGAGGGTCAAATGAATTTTTTTAAATTTGTAAATACTTAAATTATATAGGCTAATGGGGGGATTTTGTAAAGTTTGAGAGGGACTAAATAAAATTATATAAATTTTTGGGTGAATAAATTATAAAGATTTTGACGTTAGCAGCAGCGGTAGTTCTGTGGTCGTGGTGGTTCAAAAAATATGAAGATCATTTCGAAAAAAAATATTATCTACCCAACCAAATGAAAAACAAAACAAAACAAAACAAAATCACACAAAACATTAATAACTTGCCTGGGAATACAAAGTGGGGGGAAGACCAGAAGTAATATTTGGAGGAGCAAAGGCTTTGAGCAAGTAGTCAGCGCCCCATTTGATAATGTCCTTGACATGTTCAAGCTCACCTATATCTTCATACTTTTGATGATACTCAATCACTGTCCAACTCAATAGTGTAATTGTGTAAGCTGTTGGGAAACTAAACTTTATATTGTTCCCAGAATCATAAAAACCACCAATAAGATCTGTCTCCACACTGCTTGTGTTCCCGTCATGTAAACCTGAATCTCCACGAAATTTTACAGAGTTGTTCTTTGGTAAATACCCAGCTGCACAAAAACAAAAGCTTCACATGAATATTACAACATCATTAATTCCAAAAACAAATAGTTACGAACACATAATCAATCACATAAAATCAATAAATATGTGTGAAGCAATGCAAGTAGAGCAGTACTGTGTGTAGTGGTAGGCACCACTATCTTATGTGTATGGTTGTCATTATTTTATGTGGTCACTTCTGTGTCTGTAAAAATTATGATTTCAAATTTTATTTTATTTTTTTTAAATATATTGTTAGTTCTTAAATTATGTGTTCTATATCACTTTAATCCTCAATATTTAGCGTGGATCCTCTTTTCCCACATTTTCCTGGATCTCTATCCCAAAGCATTACATCCATTAAATCGTGTATTTAGATTATTGTGCGTTGAAATTTTTAATGATCCAGTAGTTGTAAATGTTTTGGGACAAGAATTCAAAATAGGGGCATTTTTGTCCAAAACATTGGGCATTAATTGAAACACAAATTAAATATGTTCGGACTACATTGACATAATTGAAATATCGTGTGCATATCAAAATAAAACAGAGCGGATATACTTGAATCAAATTAATGTAAAATGAAGAGGAAAATATATTTACACTTCTGAGCGTCGAAGAACACAAGAGCTTGGTTGAGAGCAAGCGTAAGGTTCTTGGAATAGGCATGATGGTTATGTTTGTGTGGCAAGAAATTCAACAGAAGAACAAGTAAAGTGACAGCAAGAACTATGGCGACCACGATGATGACAAAACGCTTGAAGTACTTTCTGTCAGTAATAACAAGATTGAAATCAAAAGATTTAGAGAAGCGGGAAGGGAGAGAATCGAACCCCGGGGCAGAGGATTGAGGGAGGAGATTGAAGTTGATTTCTATGGAGTTCCATCTGCTGGCTGAAGGGAGAAGCCGGCCTGCCTCGGAGACTGTGTGCACAAACCTTATTGTGGACATGTCTGCATCAGATTCAGCCATGGTTTGATGGATCAAGATGTTAAGGTCATGAATTGTTGTTGAAGAACATGAGATCGAGTGGTCCTTTGTTTTTGGTTGAATTATTTATTTTACATTTGTTCGAGCTTGTGTTTTTGGCGATTTTAATGAATATAAGATGAGGTGATTGGGCAGGTTTTATATCTCCAACTATTTTGGAAGTATGGGGATTTTGGATGTGATATGACAAAATGTAACTGTCATAACGATCATTCCTAGGCATTGGAGAAATTGCAAACAAAATTGTCCATACTCAACGAGCAGAGAGTATTGTTATGGGGATACCTTTTGTCAATTTTAGTTGATTTAGACAGTAAGATTTATAATATGAGTAAATTGGTGATATATGCAATCTAAGGAGATTGTAAGCCATTAAGTTTAGTGCATATTTTTTATTTGTGAGAGATTCATCCTTTGGAAAATAGAAATAGGTTAGTAAGAAGTCCTTTTGATTGTTTTGAAGTATCTGTTGACTTTCATTGACTATTTGTTCAAAATTTTTCCCCCAAAATTTTTACCTATTTGTTCAAAACAATTTCTATCTGTTCAAAAATTTTCCCTATCTATTCAATTTTTTCCTACCTATTCAAATTTTTTTTATCCTATCTGTTTATTTTTTTAATGTTTTTAATTTAAATTTTCTTTATCTGTTTAAATATTTTGTCCAAATAAAATTCTATTTGTTCCAGTGCTTTGAAGATTTCACCCTATCTATTCTCAGTTCTTTGAAGATTTCCATGTCAAGGTCAGTCCTCAAGCTCCGACCATCTTATAGTGTCATCTCCTTTCTCTTTTGCTTTACGAATTTCACTCTCCACAATTCCAGCACATTCAATTTGGTAACATTCCTATCTGAGACTCCACCAATCGTCTGCATCCAAATTCAAATCAATATCAACACACATTAGTGAAGCTATCCTTTCAACCAAACCTGGAACTTCCTCCAACTGCAAATCCATTAAAAAACAGCCAAATCTCAACATACAAGAACCAATAAATATGCAAACAACATGTGCAACAAAAAGATCATATTAGCAATAACTCAGTCCAAATTAGACAAAAAAAAAAAAAAAAAAAAAAAAAAAAAAAAAACTGAAACCTTTAAAATAGCAATTTTATTTTATGAAATCAAAGTTGAATTGCAATGTTTCCATATGTAGGTTAATCTAGACAATAAATGACAAGAAAATATTATTGCAAAAAATAAAGCTTCAAGGCTTGAGTTTGTTAAAAATTAACTAAACAATGTCTTTGGCTTTGTTCGAATTTGTAACCACTGTTTTGTTTTTCACTTTCTCAACAACCAAAGACTTGATTAATATTTTACATATTCCCCAACAGTAACAGTAGCGCTCAGAGACCCATTTCAACCCCTTCATCTTCATCATGGCAATCTTCTCAGTCAACCAGCAAAAGAAGACTTTCACTCTCAAGAAATTTGAAGAAGCTTTCAACGGACTGACCGAAGACCAAGTGAGGGAGATCGTCCGGCGGCAGCGGTTTCATTGATCCTCTAGAGTTGTAGACCGGATGGACCTTGTACTTATCGTTGTGTTGAACGGCCCATCCGATTTCTCTTCTTTTCATTATCTGTTGAAATCAAAGGGAAGAAGACCAAAGAGAAGAAGAGAGATGTGCTCAGATCTGAAGTTGGAGGATGATGATCTGAAGGCATTAGGGATTGGTGGTCCCGATTTGGGTCGCCGTTGGTCTGTGACTTAGGGCCGGTCTTGAGGGGAGGCGACTAAGACGATCGCCTCAGGCCCCAATTTTGTTCGAACAAAATTTAGGGCTCCAATTAGGAGTGTATCATGTAGTAGTGTTATTTCATAATTATTTTAATATTAACTCAATATGTTTATTTTTATGTTGTTGGATGGTATTATTTTGATTTGTGTCCGATTGATATTTAATGTGAAAATTTTCATTTTTAGTTAAAAATAACTTAGCAAATGTATGGAGAGATTAAAATTTTTCCATAAGTTGAATTTTATAAAATTTATTTCTACTAAATGAAATTATTCATATAATGATTTTAATTCAATTGCATTTTTCTAATTAAAAAAATTGAACCTTATTACTGTATACTTTTTACTTGATTGACTCTAAAATAGGTAAAAAAAAAATAAAATACACATCTTAAATGAAAAAGATATTAACCTTAATTATTATTTTACATACTTTTTTATTCAGTTAGATGGAGTTAAATAAAATATTAAAAAATATCATGACATCCCTTAATGAACATTAAAATATATAACTAATAATTCATATTATTGAGTCGTGTTATACTTAGATATATGTTGAAAAATAGTCAACCCTAACTTGCTAATTTTATATATTGCTTAAGTTGTGTCGAAAATTTTCATCCTTACCCCCCAATTAATTTTAGTTATTATAGCATTGATAAGCTAAAAAATAAATATTTGATTCAATTAATTGAAGTTCAACTATTATATATATATATATATTTCTTATCTAAATTTTGTTAAATTGTAATGCAATAGAAATAAATTTTTATCCTTTTTGTTTTATCCAAACAAATTTTTTTTTTTTTTGGATAATGATATATGAAGGGCCCAATTTAAAAATTTGCCTTAGGCCCTTATCAACTTGGGGTCGGCCCTGCTTGTGATGGTGGCTTTGGACAACATGGAGAGAGAGATTCCGCCACATTCGTCGCATCAACAGTCTGCAGATGAGAGAGAGACGGTGGTAGTGGTGGAGTCGTGGTGGCTGAACTTAGATCGGAGGTCGAAGATGGTGACGGAGGTGTGGGGTGATGGAGGCGATGGTGGAGCGGCAGTAAGGGAGACAGAAAGAGATTCTTGAGAGAGAGAGAGGCCCTGATTTGAGACGGTTTGACTAGAGTTTGATTTGGAAACAATATATATATATATATATATGCAGGGTAGTTTTTTCTTAAATACTTTGTCTCCTTATACATGAAGCGGTGGAAGATTGTACTTTATTAAAACAAGAATAATGTTTTAGAGCACTAAATTGGGAGTTCTAGAGCATTACTAATGATATGGAACAGTGGCCCCTACCAAAAGTGATGTGATGTTTTGGCTTGAGTTTGTTTTTTTTTTTTTAAGCTCATTAGAGGTATTAGTGATCCAAAAATTAGTGGGATGAATCACCACTCTTATGAAAATAGTGGTTTCTTTTCTCTCCCAATCTCTCCACTTTTGGGAAGATTGAAAATGAGGCTTATAAGAGAAATAAGTTTCTCTCAATTTCTTTTCATTTCTCTCCACTTAAGTTATCTAAACAAGTAAGAGAAATGCATATCTTTCAATTTCTTTTATTTTTTCTCCAAATCACTCAATTCAAACATAGCGTTAGGGTTTGGTGGTCCCAATTTGGGTCGCTGTTGGTTTGTGACTCAAGGCCGGTCTTGAGGGGAGGCGACTAAGACGATCACCTCATGCCCCAATTTTGTTCGATCAAAATTTAGGGCCCCAATTAGGGAGTGTATCATGTAGTGTTATTTCATAATTATTTCAATATTAGCTCAATTCATTTATTTTCATATTGCTGTATGGTGTTATTTTGATTTGTATCTGATTGATACTTAATGTGAAAACTTTCACTTTTAGTTAAAAATAACATAGTAAGTGTATGGAGAGATTAAAATTTTCCCATAAGTTGAATTTTATAAAATTTATTTTTACTAAATGAAATTATTCATAGAATGATTTTAATTCAATTGCATTTTTCTAATTAAAAAAATTGTACCTTATTACTGTATATTTTTTACTCGATTAACTCTAAAATAGGAAAAAAAAATAAATACACATCTTAAATGAAAAAAGATATTAGCCTTAATTATTATTTTACATACTTTTTTATTCAGTTAGATGGAGTTAAATAAAATATTAAAAAATATCATGACATCCTTTAGTAAACATTAAAATATATAACTAATAATTCATATTATTGAGTCGTGTTATACTTGGGTTTATGTTGAAAAATAGTCAACCCTAACTTGCTAATTTTATATATTGCTTGAGTTGTGTCAAAAATTTTCATCCTTACCCCTCAATTAATTTTAGTTATTATAGCATTGATAAGCTAAAAAATAAATATTCGATTCAATTAATTGAAGTTCAACTATTATATATATATATATATATATATTTGTTATCTAAATTTTGTTAAATTGTAATGCAATAGAAATAAATTTTTATCCTCTTTGTTTTATCGAAACAAATTTTCTTTTTTTGGGTAATGATATATGAAGGGTCCAATTTAAAATTTTGCTTTAGGCCCCTAACAACTCAGGGTCGGCCCTGTTTGTGATGATGGCTTTGGACAACATGGAGAGAGAGATTCTACCACCTTCGTCGCATCAACAGTCCGCAAATGAGAGAAAGACGGTGGTAGTGGTGGAGTCGTGGTGGCTGAACTCAGATCGGAGGTCGAAGATGGTGACGGAGGTGATGGGGTGGTGGAGGCGATGGTGGAACGGCAGTAAGGGAGACAGAAAGAGATTCTTGAGAGAGAGAGAGAGGCCCTGATTTGAGATGGTTTGACTAGAGTTTGATTTGGAAACAATATATATATTGAGACGGATTGACTAGAGTTTGATTTGGAAACAATATATATATATATATATATGCAGGGTAGTTTTGTCACTGTGTTAAAGTATGTTGGACAAAGTAAGAGTGATTCTATTTATACTGAGAAATTCTATTTCCACACATCAAGTTTTCTTACTCCACACACTTAATGAATTTTTTCAGAATCACAATTTTATCTTTTAACAAAATTACCATGTCACCTACCACCATCTTATTCACATATCTCACAATTTCTCCATACACATCTCACCCACCACCATCTCACTGCTGGCCACTGTCATAGCAGGTTGAGAATTTGAGGATGGGACACAAAATGCCCTAGATCCACAACCACACTACAACATCAATTGATTGAGAAAATTCCAGATCTTGACGGCAAATTGGAATCTGAACCTCATGATTCCAAATATATATATATATATATATAATATATGTAGAAAGAAAATAAAAATGAGAAATTTCAGATCAATTAAAAAATTGAGCTTGTAACTCTTCAATCAAATGTGCAAATCTTCAATGTTGATTACAATATGGATGCATAAATATATACATATATATATATATATATAGAGAGAGAGAGAGAGAGAGAGAGAGAGAGGTACCCAAAAAAAAATGAGAGATCTGGAAAAGGAGAGTGGTCACTTTCTTTGTCAATTGTTAGTAGTAAATGTAAAACCTTTGGAACTTCAGCGTGAGGGGCTGTGTGAGAATAGTTGAGAGGCTGGGAAGGGGCGGTGGTTGATGTCATCGCCATCGACGGTAACTGGTGTAGTTATGGTTAAGGTTTTTGGAGTGAGAAAGAATTGAATGAGAGGATGTGCATAAAGTAGGTGAGGGTATATTTGGAATGTGAAGTGTGTGGACTGAGACAAAAAAGTAAAAATCAAATTACTAAATGTGTGAATTGAGAAAATATGTACATAGAGATAATTTGGTGTGTGGAAATAGAATTTCCCATTTATACCATTACTTTTACCTCTTTACACCCTCCATATGAGATTTGTTTTTCCCCCCCAATTTTACCAATGTGTGAAATTATCTTTAAGACAAAACACTAAAATTAAATATTTTTTTATTATCTCCTTACATCCCTTAGTTTTCAATCCCTACTCATCTTCTTCCTTACTCAATTTTTCTTCTCTCTTATCCATCTCTTTTCAAAACGTGAGAATCATAATGTTTTGATCATAGATGAAGAAATGGTGGTGAAGAACTATCAAAAAAGTGAAATTGTGAGTTTTTTTTTATTTGTTTGGTAGGTTTTTGTTTCATTTTGTGGACTGTTCTTCGACTTTTGTTCGGTATTTCAAAATCAAACAAAATAATATAGTCTAGCATCACATTTCTAAATAAAAAATGTATGTCTAGTAACCAACTGCCCGAATAAAAGATACATTTCTAGTAACCCAATGCCGAATTTTTTAAATTTGTTCGGCTACTCATCACCGTGTATTTCCAGTTTCATTTTTTTATATTTTATATTTTATTGCTTGGAATGATTATGCTTCTACTCATTGCAACAATACAAGTACTGCATTATTAGTGGACTCCAGTCATGTATTTATTATAGATGAGGTCTGTTAAGTTTTTTTTATGAATATGATTTTTTCTTATTTTTAATTTGTATTGAGTTTTATTAATAATTTGACGTATAAATGTATTTATTATCTTTAGATTTTTAGTAGTCGTCAAGCATTTATTAAATGGGCTTCTGATGTTGGGAAGAATATTAGATTTGTCATTGTTATAAAGACATTAGATGCAGAAGGTAATGATAGAAAACCAAGACTTATACTTGCACTGCATTCGAACCTAGCCTTGGATTTAATCATTGGATGACTATGCCCGACATAGGCCATTTGATAGCATCATACTACCGAGTTGTTCTTTATCATTTATCTATGCAACAATACTTGACATTTCTACCTCTTAAATCAGTACTGATTGCAACACCTGATCGAAGAGATATCTGCATAGGATTTGTAAATGAAAACCATTTCGTGCAGGTATAGGTTTATTGATGTCTTATTTTGTAATTCTACTTATTTTGTAAATGAAAACTCACTCAAATTATTACCATGTCTTATTTTGTAATTCTACTTATTGATATCTTTGTTATAGGTCTATCTACAACTTACCATGTCTTATTTTGTAATTCTACTTATTGATATCTTTGTTATAGGTCTATCTACAACCTGGTCATCCAGTACCTCCGATAGCAAATAATTGGATTTGTTTTCATCACCCGTGTGCTAGTGGATGAGAGAAAACATATACTACCTGTATTCATCAATTCCGTATGCTTGTCAGCCCTGATGTAGTAACTACCAAAACTATCTATATAAACAAATTGTGATAACACATTTGATTGATGGATGCAATCAATGACAGATTTTATGGATGCTTTTATGGATGTTCGTACACTTGATATTTTTATGAATAGTTTTTATGTATGATTTTATGGATACGTGTTTGATTTATGGATTTTTTTTTAATAGATGCTTGAAGGAAAAAGTAAAATCTTTCAAAATACAACGACAGGTGGCTAGACAAATCTATTATAGTTTGGCAACATGACACTAGAGTAATCTAATTTGTATAATAATGTATCACCAAACATGCACTTCACAAGTAGCCCGAATTAATTTCTTGTTATCATCCAATTGAATGGCAACATATTGTTGGGAAAAAATATTTGTCTGGTAATATGATACTGGATTAATTCAAATTCATTAGTATTGTATTGTCGAACATGCCCGACACAAATTTAAAAATCATTGTTTGGGAGAAAGTGGCTCTTTAAATGTATAGCAACAAAACGCTGGAGAAATCTATATTTTTCGGCAACATAACACCGGAGGAATGTAAACTGTTTAGCACTGTGTAATCAAACAGGCACTTCGCTATGGGCTCCACTTACTGTCTTCCCTACATCTTTCTTTTTCCCCTTGCTGCGTCTTTTTCTGTTCCCTTATTTTTCCTCAAAAAATTATTAATGTAAAGAAATGAAAATGTTTTGAAGAGTCTTATTTTAGGATAGTTTTGGTAATATAATAGATGTAATAAGAATCACATTTTTTTTAATAGTGTAATGAGATGGAGAGTCTAAAGAGATAAAGTAGTGGTGTAACTAGAATCACTTACAAAGTATTTTTGAACGTGAATTTTTGAGCAATGAAAATTCAAAATTAAACTTTTGCCCCAAGTGCCCTTATAATATTTATATTAAATGTTTAAAAAATAATGTAAAGGATAATAATACTTTTCGGATAATCAATCAATGTGTTTAGTTTTAATTTTCTGAATTTAATTTTTTTTAAATTAAGTTTTTTATTTTTTGTATTTTTTTATTTTTAGTAATGTTTTTAAAATTTTAAGTAATTTTTTTACTTTTTTAGATACATCTTACTTAGATATATCTAAAAAATAAAATATTTGTAAAAAAATATTTTAAAAAATTAATAAATACACAAAAATATACTGAATTCTCATTTTTTAAAAAAAAATATTTTTGGTATTTAGTGAATTTTCTAAAGATTTTTTTTCATAAATATTATATTTTTTAAGTGTATTTATATTAGGTGTATTTAAAAATTTTAAAAATTGCTTAGAATATTAAAAAAAATACAAAAATAAAAAAATTCAATTTTCTGAAAAGTAAATTCTAAAAATTTAAACCAAACAAGCTGAATAATTTTTTTTGTACCTCACTCAAGGCATCCAAGAAATACAAAAGTCAAATAAAATTTATTGAGACTCATATTTGATTAAGAAAATTTAGATCACACCCATAAACTCTCTCTCATGTCAGGGACTATTGGACTACAAAAATAAGGTGAGACATAAAATGATAAATTAATAATATAAATTTCAAAAATAAAATAAAATATATTGAGACTCATATTTGGTTAAGAAAATTTAGATCACACCCATAAACTCTTTCTCATGTCACGGACTAGTGGACTACAAAATTAAGGTGAGATATAAAATCATAAATTAATAATATAAATTACAAATTGATAGAAATTTGTCAACCTTGCAAGGCTACCTATAAGCATATTCTCCAAAGTGGGTCTTGGTCCTTGGTTACCCATTGTAAGGCTACTCACCCATTTACAAAAGTAGACTTGGTCGTTGGTTACCCATTGTAACTTGTAAGGCCACCTATCCATTATGGGTATAATTTCACAAAGGCCTAATTCCATAGAGAGAGGAGGTGACATGTGGGGTTAAACTCTAAGAAAAGTCTCAGAGGTCACTCTTGATAATGATTTTTTTGGGGTTAGGTCACTCTTGATAATGTTATATGATCACTTAATTATGTGGTAGTACATAGAATATGATTCAAATTCACGCTCTAAATATTAGATATGATTTGAACACATATGAAAGGTTCGTCTTACTAACCTTGTGTACTAATTTGAATGGAAAACTTTAAAGAGAGTTGAACACATGCCTCGTTTGGAAACATACTAATTTAGTATTTTTTTGACTATTTGGTTAAAATATGAGTTAAAAAAAATTAGTATGTTTTGGATGACTTTTTGGCTTTTTACGAAAAGATGTGCAAAAGTAGAGAGAAAAGAGAATCTTTGACTTTTTGGTATGAGTTGTTGGCTTTTTAATTTTTTTTAATAACTTTTTGACTTTTTAACTAAAAAAGTCATTTATCAAACAAGGCATCAGTATAGGACTTAACACCTCAAGTTGTTATTGCTCGACCAACCTCAGTGTTTCACAAAGGCTCCTTACACTAGATCCTAATTTTAAAACTAAATGTATATAAAAAATTAAAAATAATAAAAATTGTTCATCAAAGCTTACAATACAATGAAACATTTTCCAAAACAAATGCAGTGAAATTTCTCTGCATGTACCTAATAATAGAAATTTGGATAAATTACAAACACACCTACTGAGATTTACTTAAATTACAAATTACCCCATATAGTTCTAGAAATTACATTATGCCCTTTAAGGTTTCTAATTTCATAACAAATAGGTCCTTTTATTAATAAATCATCAAGTTAATTAACAGTTTTTAATAATGTTAAAATTTTATTTCAATTAATGATTCAGATAATTTTATTATTGTATAGCTGAACAGTTAGAAATTTCACTTTTTCAATTAATTCTGTTAAATAAAAAATTTTGACAGGAAGGTATCTGTAATTTTTCAAACCATATGGGACAATTCGTATTTTAAACAAATCTCAGGAGATGTATTTGTAATTTACCCTAGAAATTTATATAATCTGGTATCACTCTGCAAAATTGTCTACAACTTGGCTCAGAACTTTACTAGTTCTATTTATAACTTCATTTCCTTTCTAGTAATAATAATGTGTCCATGAAAATGGTAACTGCAAACTCTCAAAAGTTATTATACATGAAAGTTGTTACTAAATACATTCAAATTGTGCAAGATAGAACAACTAAAAAGGCCATTTTGGCTTTCATTGTACATAATTAGAGGTGAGAGTGAATGCAAATCTAAACCCCAGCTAAAAGGTACAGGACTACCCAGTGTTCTTCAAGAAAGGGCAGCTTGAAGCCATCTCAGTTGTCGAATTATCACCAGTATTATTGCCCTTCATAAGACCCCCAAGCAGTTCTCCGCGATCATAGAAGAATTCCACCTTCACGATCTTTGAATTTTTATCCAACTGTTTAAAAAAAAAAATCAAGTTAATAAAAATTTTCTTTTGCTAATCAAATAAAAAAATAGTAATACTAGAATCAATTCCATGCCTAAAGTACCTCAAAAATGGCCATGCCATAAAACTCAATCATTTCACTAATTGGGGCATGTCCTTTAAAAGGACCCTCCATGAACCCCCAATGCCTAAACTTGTACACAATCACTGGTGGCCCGGAATAAACTTGGAGGACCTCTAGGGCAAATCCTCGTGGAAATGCAGTTGTGAAAGCAATGTGTGCTGAATCCACAGTCTCTTTAGTTGGGTCGTAAGCTCTGAACTTCTCTGGCAAGGAGGTTTGCATCAGATAATTGTAGCCTCCCCCGATCTTTCGCTTTTCTTCCAATGTTATGCCTTTCCTTCCTTTGAATTGAATTACAATCAAATTTATCACCAACAAATTTACATCTTAGGATCAAGAGAAATATGTTCTTTCTTCTTTTTATCCCAAATCACCCAATCCAAACAGATGTAAGTGGGGGGGAAAAAGAAGAAAACAAAAAAGAAAAGAAGAAGTATGATATAAGCAAATAAATTAGTGTAATACCATTGAGGCTGAATCTATACTTGATTGGATCAACTGTTTTGTAGTCATCAAAACATGTCTTGTGGAACATCTCCATTTCCCATGTCTTCACAAGGTTTTGCACTTTTTCTTCAACTGAACCTGGTGGCCATATCTACCATACATAGACTAATAGATAAGATATATATGTAGAAAAGGTTATTCATACAAAATTTGTACCAGAGTTATATGATAGTGGCATTTATGTGATTAAATGTCATTTAAATGGATACTTTGTTTTAAAATGATGAGTTTTAAATAAAACCATATCATTCTGTATACAAAATTCATATACTTTAGTAAGAACAACACAAGTTCATATAGTGATATGATTTCACAAGCAAGTAATACACAGCATACTTTTAATGATATCGTACATATCAGTATCAATGATACAATCATGGAGTTTTCTTAAGTGTGCAAGTGCACACCATGTGCCACTTACACAAAAAGTGTAAGTGTAAGGTGCAAGTATAAGTATAAGGTGTAAGTGTAAGGTGTAAGTGTAAGGTGTAAGGTGTAAGTGGGTTGCACATGGTGTGCAACCTCAAAAAAGGTGTAAGTGTAAGGTTTAATTTTTTACAAAATGTGTAAGTGTAAGGTATAAAGTGTAAGGTGTAAGTTGCACACCATAACCAAACCCTACAATCATATATATATTGAACCTGATATTTAAAACCATGATTCAGACCGGGAGGAAGTGTATACCTTAGTTCTGCCTTCTTCAAAGAGCTTGTTGACAACATCATAGTTGGGAGGAGCACCATACCTCCACTTTGTGTTTCTCTCTCCCTCTCCATACAAGTAAGATCTGTACTTGTCTCCCTCATCAATACTGCTTGAAGATGCCATTCTTATTGTCTTGGCAGACAAAGACAACTTGGTATTATTGATCCTTAAATCTTTTGAGACATTATGGTTATATTTATACTAGGCAAACAAGGCCCGTGCATCGAGCTACTTGCACCCTTTCGTTTTCAAAAAAAAAAAAAATTGATTTGATTTTATTTATTTTAATGTAATGTTTGTTTTAATGAGAAAAAATATAATAGAATGTTTATCTTGTAAAGATTAAAAAATTTCAGTGCGTTTTAGTTTCAGTTTTTTAAAAATTGAGTTTTTTATTTTTCGTATTTTTTTTTGTTTTTAGTGAATATTTCTTAAATTTTAGCAATTTTTTTACTTTTTTAAATGTACTAAAATATTTGTGAAAAATATTTTAAAAAATTAATAAATACAAAAAATGTATTGAATTTTTATTTTTTTTTGTTTGTATTTTTTGGTATTTAGTGTATTTTTTAAAGATTTTTTTCACAAATATTATATTTTTTAAGTGTATTTATGTTATGTGTGTCTAAAAATTAAAAAAATTGCTTAAAATATTTTAAAAAATTCATTGAAAACATTAAAGTATGAAAAATAAAAAAATTGAATTTTCTGAAAACTGTTTTCTAAAAATCAGAACCAAACAAAGTTTATTTCACAAAATTTAATGGCATTCAACTTTTATTTCAATTAATTAAATATTATTTGAGATTATTATCTTAAAATAAGATTTTTCTTCATAATTTTCTTTTTTTAGTAAGACTGGGGCCGAAGTTCAAATCAAACCGTTTATATTATAGCATATCATATATATAAAAAAACAAATAAATAAAATTAATTTGATATGTTTTGAATTGTCCAAAATTAAATTTCATGCTATTTTTCAAAAACAAGAAGCATGCCCATACATATTGCACCATTCTATTTAGCCATTCTAGATTGTAAATTTACCACAATTAACCCAAACTAACATCAGCACAATTTGTTCCACGTCACTGAATGTCAAAATAGAAGTAAAAATACAATCTATATAATAAGACAGAAGGATTTTTGAAAATGTCTAAAATGTATCAGAGATACATTTAGTTTTAATGGTTCAGATTATTCCATCCAAAATTCAATGGCGGAGATGCATTCATTTCCCGCGCAAATGTTCTCTCTCTTCTCTCACCACTTCTATCCTCTTTTATCATTCCACTACTCTCTCATCTCTCTCTCCCCCTCTGCTCCACCTATCCACATCTGCCTTCTCTCTCTCTCTCTCCCCCCTCCTTCCCTCTTCTCCCCAGAAAGTATAGCGACTCTCTTTATCTCTCCCTTTTCTCCCCTCTGGTGAAGACCTGCCTCCACAACACAGAAGCCTACATTCGCAACTACAACAAATGCAACCCTTTTCTCTCTCTCTACACATCTCACTCTCAGTGTTTTTGTTTCAATCCTATACTCTTTCTATGACACTTCATACTTCTTGGATTAATGGGATTGCTCTGAACACTTTTATTTTTATACTTGGAGCCTCTTGGGTTCATTTTGTGATATTGATTGAGGTGGTATCATAATGATACAATAGGATTGAACTAAAAACTTTGATTCGGATAATTGTCCTACGAATAGTCATCACTCTTTTGCCCATTTCTCTTTCCACACTTTGAATTTGAATGTGAGGCTGAAACCATTGGAAAGTTTGTTTTCGGGGCTTCAATTTGAATACAAGAACGGCCTAAAATGGAGTTCGGACGAGAGAGTTACGCCCATTTGAACTTTGTGTATCTGTGTTGGAAGTAAGTTCGCTCGAGCGAAGGAAGTTGTGCTCGAGCGAAGTGTCCGAACTCGGCATGTTTAAAAGTCACTTTTTGGTCAACTTTTCTTCATTCTCTCTTGCTCTCTCTCTCTCTTTCTCTTTTCTCCCATTTTTCCTCCATTGTTGATGTTTCAAGCTTTTAAGCTTGGTTTTCATCTCTTTTCCCTCATTTTCTACCCCATGTTCCTTATATAAAAACGAAAAGCACGCTAAGGGCTTCTATCTATCCAAGCGGATCGTTTTACGTTGAAGTCGAAATTTTGGGTTTCTCTCTCTTCTTGCTTAAAGTAGGGATTTTCCTTGCTTCTCTTCAATATTATCTTGTGGATAGATGGACGGTAATTTCTATTGCATAAAACCCTCATTTTGAGGAGATTTTCAAAATAACATTTAAAGGAAGTTAGGGTTTTTAAATTTTGGAAGTTGAATTGATGATTTAAGTGGAATATGGAATATTTGGGTTATGGGATTAAGATTTTGTGTTCAATAGTAAAAAGCCCTAATTTATGCTTAACCCTAGTTGTAGAATTTATTTTGGAAACGAAGAATGCTTAAATTGACATTAGATTCATGAAATTAAGTTTATGTTTTGTTGAGATGAGTATAAATAATGACAATTAATTGATCATTGTATATAAGGGTTAGGTTAAAGAAATTAAGATTGGTAATTAAATCAATTAATCTTGGATAATTTATGATGATTGTTGTATTGTGAATTTGAGTATGAAGACTTGATGATAATGAGGAAAAATAGACATAACTGGAACACAAGAAGTGTGAATACTTCTAAAGATAGCCTTTATATTTTTGGTGGATGTGTTGTTAGATTATTTTGTGATAAAAACAATGAATGTTGTTATTGTTTTTTTTGTTGAAATTGTAACAATGAATGATTTTAATAAATAATAGAGAATGTGATGGAACATGATATGTACTTGTTATGTGAATGAATCCTTATCATATGGTGGACGTGTAATTAAGCTAATATGTAACGGAAATAATAAACGATGTGTTGGCTTTGCCCACAAATCATAATGGGGAATGACTTGAGGAATTGATGGATTGGGATGCTGCTTTGGGGTCTGTTTCCCGCCGTATTTGAGCCGGCAAAACATCTTGCTTAATAAAGGTTCCATCTTCCTTCCGGAGTAGCGCCCGGTAAAGTGTCTAGGCTGATAAGAAGTGAAGGTTCCGTGTTCCTTTCGGCTTGTGACTGGTAAAGCGTGAGGTTCTACATTTCTTTCGACTTGTGACCAGTAAAGCGTGAAGTTCCACATTCCTTTCGGCTCGTGACCGATAAAGTGTGGTAATGCGATGATGCGGCTTAGTAATGGAGTCGGTTTATATTTGGTTTATGTGAAACAATTATAATGAGATCTACACGTGTGATTGTGATAATGGGAAGTAAATAATCATAATGGTGTAAGGTTGAATATATGGGATTGTGTAAATTCATCTAATGTGGTTATAATGGGCAATGGTGTGTTATGACTTATATTAGAATGATTCTCTTCTATAATTAGACTTCTTGGTAATGTCAACAAGGGATTTTCATAAAGAACTTTTGAAAACTATACTAGAATCATACAGAAACCAAAGAAAATCTTTTCTTTGAAAAGTTGTTTGCAGATTTCTTTATGAAAATGGTATTCCTATATAGATATATATTGTATTTTCGAATATGATAGAGCATCTTAATTATATATATATATCACTCGTTAGCATTCATGATCGCATATATCTAGGGATCTTATTGTTTAGAATCAGGGAAGATTCCTACTGGACTTCGTATTCATCCCATTTATTTTAACCATTTTCAGGAACAAAGTCTAGAATGCTAGATTAAGGATTTGAAGAGTTTATTTTCTTTTACAAGTCATAGTGTAAATGAGATATTTATGTGTAATTCAATGTGAATATTGGCATGGATTATGGTTGTATTCATTTGAGAGAGAACAATATTATTAATACTCAATGTAATGTAATGGTTATTTTTAATAATAAATGTATTTAATAAAATAGATTTGAATTAAAGATTTTGGTAATATTTTCGGGTAATGGTTTTGGTAATATTTTAAAAGGTTTTGGGTTTTATTTTTTAGGTTTTGAGTTTTATCCAATAAATGAGTATATGTGTTTCTGGATCTTCATAAAATAGGTTTTGTTTTTTAAATGGATTTTGATTTTAGAAATGAATTTTTATTTTTAATTTGATTTATGATATGGTTTTGATTTATGAAATGAATTTGATTCTTTAATGGGAAATGGGTGCTGATTTTTAAAATGAGCATTGATTTCCTATGATTTAACAAAATCAAATCACAAATTTGAGGGAAAATATAGTGAAGAAAAAAAAAATTCTATTTAACGAAAGAAGGAACAAAGGAAATAAAGGGTTTGGAGAGAGAAAATATGTAACAACTCCAACCCATGATTAACCGTTAAACCATGATTAATAATGCTTAATAAGTAATTAAGATGAAATCCTGAGTTAATTACATGTGCATTGCATTATTTGTATTTATATCTGTTAGCGGTAGGAATATTTGTTTGTGTCTCTATTTTGTTCTGCGAATTGAAGGCCTTATTGGCATCCAATCACGAAATTGACTTGAATTATGTGTTAGCTGAAATTTTTAGAACATTATGGTAGGTTTAATTGAAATTCGATTCGGAGCGAAATAATTAGAATAAAATAGTGCAAATTTGTTTAAGTTAAGTCAAACTTAATTAAGTTCCCTATTTGAGCCTATATAAGGCATAGACATCACTTTGAGACATCTTCTCTTCGTCACTTTGAGCCTACAATGTGAGAGAGAGGAAGGGACCAAGAGAGTTTGGAATCAAACTTTGAGCTTTGAAAGGAAATTGCTAGGAGATTGGAGAATTACTTAAGAGCATAACCAAACCTTAAAGAATTGAAGACTCTAGGTGAGAATCTTATCTTTAAGCTTTGTATTCTAGACGCATGTGATAGTGTTCAAGATAGTAAGATGGCTTAACATGTGAATTGAACTTAGATTAAGGAATTTGGGAAGAATCATTGCATGCATGCATAAGTCTTGAAGTTTGGAGTTTAATTTCAAAGAATTTCAACATGCATGTGTTCATCTTGCCTTTGGTTTGAGAATTCATGGAGTTTATAACCAAATTATCTCAATAGTTCATGATTTGGAAGCTTTGAAGTCAAGAACTTTTATGTATGGCATGTTTTCAATATTTCAAGTTTGAGTTTAAGCAATTCACATGCTTTTGGGCCTTGATTTTACGAAATTGCTCTCAT